AGCTTCTTACCTGAGCTTGATATTTGTTTATATCTCGAAAGCGTTTGATTCGGCTTTGCACGACAAATTTATCAGGTCTGCAGTGGCATTTGGAGCACCGTCACACTTGGTTGGAAACATCGCACCGTCTTATGACAATGCTGTAGCATTTTTCTCCAATCCCGAGGTTCACTGCCACAGAGGTGTGAGGCACGCAGACCTACTCTTCCCAGTATTTTTATCGTGGCAATGGATGAGGTTTCTGATTGTCAATGCCACAACAAGGTACCAGTAACATGATACCTTGATGAACTGTTTTGCCTTTGCTGACGACTGGATCGTGTTTGAGAAATTCAGGCTCAACTCAAAGAGAAGCTTGAAGCTGCTGCGGTTGAGTTGAAAATCTGCTTTGAAAAATAACGCCCGGAAGATATCTGGAGACAGGAAACATTAGGCTACGTCGGTCTTGGTCGAAACTGTCCGCTTCCCTGAGGTTCTCATCAATCGTTTCCAACCAACGACAGCAGCTGCCAAGGCTGCTTGATAGGCAACTCGTAAACCCGCATCAAACAATAAAGATCATATAGAAGTACACGGTGCCGAGGCTGACATATTGGTTTATGCTCGGCGAAGTCCATCAAAACACGCCCAGAATGTTGGGCTATTGCATCACGAAGACTATTTATGGATGGCTACGTCTGTCGGGAGATACCTCGATCCATCGATGCCGTTGAACAACATGGGGGAATCGTTCTCCTAGTTTTGCGTGCAACAATCCCGATGCAACCAAGACTGAGTACGGGAAAGCCGCCCTATACTCAGTGCCACGTACTACACAATGTGGCTAATGATTCTACATTTGGTAATGTTGTTCGGGATCTCAGCCTTCCGTTCCGAGTCCGGCATGCACCAAGGAAGGCCTGCTGGCAACTTGGGTCGGTATTATGCACGACAGCGTTGACGGTCGCGGCTCACGAGGGATGGTCGCTGTGGCTCTCTTGAATTGATGGCCTGTGCATCTAGGACGAGTGCTTCCTCGAGTATTTATCCGTGCTATCCTACTCCGGTGCAGCCTGCTCTGAACGGGAGTTGGAAGCATTCGGCGTGGTTACGGAAGCCTGAAACTCTTCTGTGGTGGCAACTGTAGTCAATCGAAGATTTTCTTGCATGTTATGCATGATGCCAGATATGCTTGTCATAATTGGGATGCAAGAAAACCAGCAAAACATCCCCGACACCTGATTACACCGTCCTCGAGGAGCTGAGAGCACCTACTTTGAAATCTTTCATCAAGCCTGGCACAATCGTTGTTCGAAAGCATCAGGCAACTGTGGTAGACGAAGACATAGCCTCGGATGGCCTCGGAATGGTTGCATGAAATGAAAAAATCAGAAGTATGACGCGAATGATCTTTCCCTCGCCATCATCTCAGCCCTGCGTGTAGTCGATTGCGCTGTCGAGTTTTTGGTCCACCAACCGATGATTTATTCATTTGGACGAATCTGCTTCCCTCAGTCCGCCATAGCTGTTAGTGGACTGCGGCTTACTAAGTGACCCGTGTTTACCCGGTAGTTTGGGTTCTCTACATGTTCGCAACACTTTTATGCGTGGTACTCGGCGCTGGGTGTCCCTTGACCCTCACATCTGACCCAGCATGACGGATAGTTTGTGCCTGGTTTGCGAGTCTTGACGGCGCCAGCAATTACCACGTCTTGAACAGCCTGACTGGGACTGTTGATGAAACGCCTTTGCATTAGATGCCCCCCTCGTCTTACCTGATATTCTCCTGTATAATCTTTTTCTATTATTGCTTGTATTTATTTTTTATGTTTGCAACCACGGTCGTTTAAAAAACGATAAATACAAGATTGCATCACTGAAAAGCCCGTTTCACATCTTAACCGATGGTACAGGTGTATATTTTAAGGCGGGCTCAGGCAACCAGCCTGCAATTTTTCATTCAAGAATTTAGATGCCAGCCGTTAAAACGCTATTCACAGGACAACTGACATCAAATTTATACAAGATGCATCTCCTTAAAATACATACGTACATATAAATGAAGCTGAATTCAGTCCACAATTCATACAAATGAGGCTAAATTCACTCCCCAGTTATAAACATTAGTGTATGATGAATTTCATCTAGAAGTTAACCCAGGTTAAAGCAGGAATTTGCAGTTGAAATCCAATTTTACTTCCACTCATTTTCATACATTTGTTTATTTCGGATGTAAGACGTATGAAAGCATGCAGTTTGCCAACTTTGTCATCTTTTTATCAACCGTTCATTGTGCTCTAAGTTAACTCACTCTTTGTTGAAATTCGTCGTTGTTTTGCGACTGGAATGATATCCGTACCTTCCGTTTATGACTGCTCGGTGTGCTTATTGACCATGTTTAAACTGAAATTGAAGACCCACTGGTTATTCTGACATGCAGCAAATTGATTTAGCTAATAGTGTCTAGTATGGAACCCCTATGGATCTGGTTCTAGTGCATGCGTGGCTTTAATGCTCAAGCATGACCGTAACAGGGAATTTCATACTACAAGTGCTCACCTCCGCAAGAGATGTGGAAGTGAGCACTTGTGGTATGAAATGAAATTTCGCAACAACGAGTGTTGGCCGTCGTTCACCAAACTCCTTAGTATATCTATAATAAGCAGTTACTAGACTTACATTACATTGCACTCCCTTACATTTAGCTAAACGCTCAAAATACTGGGAGCTGCTTATCGGACGGGTCACGCACACCAAGAGTCTGGTGGTTGGCTGTTTGGTGGTAAAGCTGAATTAGAGAATTCGATTTCTACATTAATTTCACCAACTAAAACCGACGATGAGAAAATCCATATAGCCATATGCTGCTTTAATTTTCGACTTAATGATAACTATATTCAAACCGGAAGTAGACAAGATGCACAACTTATATTTGTCAGACTAAATTAGTGTCTAATATTACGGCTCCGTGAAATGCTATCCAGACTATCCGGGAAACGGGACTGTAGCTACATTTTACCAATTCATTCACTATGTATTAGCCTGGTTTTATTTGACTGTACTGCTTGATCGTACGGCCCTTAAAACATATTGTGACGTCACTCGAATTATTCTGACAATTTCACCATTCACAACCAAATTGTGATTTCCCCGGTCGTTCCATAAAAGGATTCCAAGGTCTGGAAATGAACGAGTTTTCGCACAGCACAAAAAGAAATATTGTGCTTTACATGGCTTCTCGCCCGTCTTTGAAACATAGTACTTTCCTCTAGCAGGCACTCTCATGAGTAACTACCACCATCTAATAGACAAAGGATTTTTGCCTTTCGGAACCTAGGAGAAAATTTTTACCGGTTCCTGAAATGAATTGCTTGCTTCTCAACATTAGATATCACACTAAAAATTCCAAATGATACTGTCCCAAGCTTATTAGCTGGCTAGCAGTTTCTCATGAACACAACTGATACACTTATGAATCCTCCTTTTGACTTGACTTGACTGATAACCCAACCTTGATTACTCACACTTCACCAATCGCCAAGACATGTGGAAGCAAAACAAACGAGTGATGATACAAATCAACGAAAGATAACAAACGTTTCAAGTTTCCGAGGATTAGAACTGTTTTTTGGTGTTGGTGATGGTGCATTTGTGATATCAAAATGAAAGAACTCCAGGCTGTATTGTTTTAGACGATGAGGACTGACGACCGTGACGAAATTTCGTGACGCTGCGTGGGTTTTCATCAATTAGTTAAGGATTGTGAATAACCAGCTCATTCAACTTAAATATGATGAAGAACCACACAGCCACTTCATGAAATCCGTTAGAAAGTGCTTGGACACAAAGGCAACATGGCCCGTAATGTTGATACTGTGAGAGAACTTGGGTATTTTAAGTTATGCTTTCATCCTGTAATTGAAGCCAATCTGTGCTGGAGTGCTCAAATTTTGTATAGCTGATTCACCCTAATTCGGAAGCAGCAATGGTGCGCATCTCAAGAAAATACTGTCTAACAGCGAGTGGATCACACTTCTGATCCGCCTTTTCTTGGCCGAAAACTTAAGTCTCATCTGTTCGAGACTCCCTGGAGTTTCGTGAGATACGCAGTGCTGATGGTTCTCAATAATGATGAAACAACTATACAGTAATTCTCGGCTTTTCAAAATGGATTGGATTTACTTACAGGACGATATTTCTACTAAAAGAGCTACAGTTATTCGCATTTTCACCCAAAATATATCATGGTACCCGGTGAGGCAGTTCCCTTCAAGCAGTGATAGGTAGGAAGGATTCTATGAGTGAGGGGATTTACTCATCATTTTAGGATTGAAAATAATGAATATCGCTTGGGTGGATCATAGCTGATTTCCCCAAGGTTTTCTTAAATCACGTTAACACGTGTTACCTTCTCACAAAGATGTATTAGGATCCGAAAATTTCTGGTTCAATTAAGGTATATTTTCCTTATATTATACATATAATATATACATATATATATATCACACACCTGTTAGTAATTGCCGGAAAACTGTTGATCTGGTAGAAGTGCGCGTTTTTATTCAAATTACTCGGGATAGTCTCAGGCAGATAGGGTAATAATCCATCATCATCTTGATACTCAACTTCACAATCTAACTATAATTCAGCATCCTGCAAAAAGAAGCAGAATTTCCCAAAATAAATTCCATTTTGCCCATTTTGTTCACATCACCCTATGGATTCATGAAAAGTCTCAAATGTCGGGAAGCTAAATGCAGAATGACAAATAACAATACGTGAATTGCCTTAGTTATTCCGCTCATTTTCTATTTTTAACTCTAACTTTGAGGCGAGGGTTACAGTGTCGGTAGCTGGTTGTTTAGAGTCGATTGGTTACGAAAACCGAAAAAGATTTCCAAAACCGGTGAAATTAGGGGGAAAAAAAGAAATAGTACTGGGTAATTGATACTTTTTAAATTTGTACAATGTAAGATTCAACCAGGAAATCTCACTTATTCTTTCTCATCTCTGTGTTTTAGTTTACGCACTTTTGTATCTACAACGCGAGGAAGACGTCCAGCTCCACATCCAATCAAACGTATCCCGATTCTCTTGAATATCTGGATGTGGATATGTTATTGGATGGTGAGCAGAGCGAAGATCTTCTCTATTCTCGACAGATAAGTCTGTGGCTAAGCCGCCAGCATTTAATTATCTCTGGTATTGTTCCGTATGCAGTGACCTTCATCTTCAATATCATACTTATTCATTATCTCCGGTCTTGTCCACGACCTCTGACCATGACCAGTAATGGCGTTTGTTTGAACAATTCACCACGCGCTTCTTGCACTCCTTCCAACACATTTGTTCGAAACAGACGTAGAATAAGCCACATACTTCGATGTTTTTGCATTGGATCTTCGGAGCCCCATCGGCAGAAATCCACGGGAGCCCTACCTCTAATCTCCAACCTGGGCACCGACCCCGTGAAGCTGACCAGAACCAATGGTCGCACACCATTGCTACATGAACTTCCCGGTGTGACGTCAACGAATCATTGCATCCTAATGCCGCTTAACAAGAATCCGGCCCATCTCCAAGCTCATCCAGTAAATCTACATTATAAATGTTACCACAAACTGATAAAGCCTCCGTTCAACACATCTACTGTGCAGCAAAACTTGCATGCACCCCGCGAGTCTGGCAATCAACACGCAACTAACAAAACGAGTGATATACAGTGTCTTCAGTTGTGTGAAGCTGGTGCTTCAACCTCAGTGCACCGTAAGTCGTTCGAACAAGATGTCAAGAAAGATCTGCGGAAAAATCCGGTGACCAACGGTTGGTGGGTTGGCCAGACGAGAGTGACAATGCTGTTACTAACGGTCACTCTAACGTTCATTGTTTTGACCGCACCGTACATGATCTACACTGAACTGAAGCAAGTGAGTTTTCCCATTCATTGCTTAAGCCTGGTCATCTATTTTTATTGGTTTATTTGATTATACAGTTATACAGCTGCGTACGTCAGCCATAAAGACAAACGATTTAGAATCTCAAACATCCATTGAGAGATCCGGAGGATAAGGTTTGAATATTTTGAGTTTAGTCTATTTAAAATTGACGCATGCATTTGTAGTGATCAAAACTTTGGGTGATCAGTAAGTTACGCAAATCTTCGATCGACACAGTCAGGCAGTCACTGGATACACTGTCATTCCAGCTATTTTGCACACCACACAAGACGCACAGAAACGGACGGTTTTTTCTGTTTCACAATGCGTCTGTTATAAACATGGCGGTAATGTTGACGCACTTCACTCGGATGTCCACTCTTCCTGTGTGTGCATTTGCACTGTCGAAGAGTTTCCTATGTCTAATTGTTTCTGTTAATTCTAGGCCAGCCAGACTTGTTGCGTCACATGTGTGGATACCGGGCAAAAAATTTTTCGACACGCTGAAACTGACTCTCTAAAAGGAACTAATTAAACCATATGACCATTACACCATTAGGGATAAAACTACAGTTTCCCGTTACACAGGAAGCAAACATTTTTACCGATGCAACGATTGCGCACGGTACTTCTGATTCTTTTCCAAAACAAGTGAGAACGTAAATCATTGGGAGTATTTTGTCGAGTCAATGTGATGGACTTGGCGCTTGTGTGAAATCCCCGAAGTAGGGCAGACGTTGTTTCGTATTAAAAAGTATTTAATAGGACTCTAATCGGACTCCCCCTCACGAATACATGGCACGCAAATAGAAGATTGAGTGTTCTTCTATCCTCGCAATACTCTAGTAGGTGTTTTGAGCATTTTATGCAGGATTTCCCTAGCCCAAGGCTTTGAAATTTCTAGAATGGTTAATACAATCACTGAGAGGGTCTGCCACTAATCGGCAAAAAAGACCCGTTATTCATATTTTGTATCTCAACCCCATGAGAGAGGTAATCATGCACTTAATACAAAGCAAACTGAATTTTTCGTTTGACTCTGATACAAAAATCAATTGCTTGCCATAGTCAGTGACTGAAAATCATACAGCAAGGAAGAAACTGCTCAGGACAAAAGCTTGTAATAGCAGAAGAATACTCTGAGAATAGTAAAGTTGAAATTAATTGCGTTTCTTCTAAATGTAGCTATCCTTTAGAGTCATCGTCATTGACGGTCTAGTATATGCAGTTTTATCTTGCACCAATTACCATTGAATCACCGATATCTCAATTTGATTCACCGGTCAATAGTGGTCAGAGCCAATAGAAATCTACCATAAGACATCATCAGAATTAAACATGGTAGCCTAATTATTGATATCAGCAACAGCTAGTTTTTTTTATATTTAGGAGGCGACAGTGTCCTTCTTAAATATAACGACATGCAACTGTTACTAAGGGCCGCCTGCCAACCCACCATAAAAGTGGTAGTGGAGAACCTGAGGTATTCCAATAATTCTGTCATTCTGATCATTACAGCAACTCATGGGTACTTACTAGAAAATGGTACAGAAATCAATCGCTCAGCAAGATGATAATTTATAAACAACACCGGCTTCTGCAATTTGTGAAGGTTTGCATGGTCGATAGGAGAGACTGACCTTTAATTTTTAACGCCACCTGAGGGTGGCTTCTCAAATTTTCTCAAGCCTGATTTTATTCTGGTTCTGTCCAGTGTCCGGTCCTTCGCTCTAAAACATGGATGTTATAGGTTCTAAGAATACCCTGAAGGCCCTACAGTTAGGAGGATCTTGGCGTCTTCAATCTAGGAACTTCATTCTTCAGCTTAACACAGATCATTTGTTTTCAAATGCGAGTTGCGCATTCGACTGCATTCAACCAACATTATTTTCCAGTTTGGTGTCTTCGGTTCGCTAACTTAGGTCCGTCAACTCCATCCGAAGGATGTTTCCGGGACGGTTCAACTGATGTCAGTCAGAAATGCAATCAGCATAAAACACCATTTTCGCTGCCGCTGTAAACCACACAACAGCCCGAAATACAGCAGTTCTGCTCCGGATAAACTAGCGGCTCGTTGGCTTCGCTAATTCATGCGGTAACCTCGACAGCAAAGGTCATTTTTGTGGGTAGTGTGCCATCGTGATGGCGGTAATCCTGCGAAATTCTATCTCAAATAACTAGACGAATACTTGATGTTTAAGGTTGAACCCCTTTGCCGAGTTGATAAGGCGAAAGCGTTTTAGGAATACATACACAAGCCAAAGCTAAGTGCTCCTGAACGAAGCACTGTAGTAAGATGCTGTAATTAAAATTTTGCCAAACTTTTTGTGTCTAACAACTTGTGTCAATGAACAAATTAGAAAATTATTAGAAAAATTAGAAAATTAGGAAAGTTTACTACGCAGCGTCTGTGCTTCCAGCTCACCGACTTCTGCAAGAAAGCCGTCTAACCCCACCGTTCTGCCACTTTTCAGCTGGTTTATGGCCTTTATCAGCCACGGAGGTCCATATATTATGTCGGAGTAGGACGGCTACGATGTTTAAATCCACATATCCTGGCGGCTTGGGAAGCTTTAAAAGTCGCGCTTTTGAGATACCGGGATAATTTCTGTTTGATTGGGTCTTCAAACGCTCTTTTGCTCTTTCACTGGAGAAGGATGTTGGGCTTTTGGTCTACATGTTTCTTTTAATCCCGTGAAGAATTCTTAGTGAAGTAGAACTAGGGTTCTTTACCTCATCTGTTCCTTCAGTAACATGTTAGGTCTCCCAGGTTTTTGGCAGACCTGGTACCGGCACTTCTGTGTTGAGTTCGGGCCTCCACGTTTGTCGGACGGTAAATTTTTTTGATGAGCGCCAAATTTTTCCACTGAATCCAGTTGAATGTCGCTGTGTCCATACCCATTCTCATTAGCGCGGGTGTTTTTTCCGCTTGAAATCACAATAGCTGTCAGAATATATAATCATATTTGTATTATTCGTACAACGCTTATTATTCAGATGAACTGAGTACCATGCATGGCCCACGAAGTTCACGTCATCGAAGTATCCCAAAGTGAAATCTCATACCTTTATTCAGGTCTAAATGTGTAAAAACACCTCTATTTGATACCCTAGGTTTGTTATTTTCTGTTTCATCTACCAAATATACAAGATTCAAATGTGAGGATATCGCTGAATTATCAAATATTGAACAACAGGTCACTGCAAAACCCAAGTTTTGTCCTCTGAAATGCATGTACATGTCCCTTCTATTAATGACTTAGGTGACGTCGAAAAAATTTCTCCTCAGTACTCACCGATATCCCAAACATAACTCCCAACTTGTGAAGGCACTAAAACACTTAAGCACAAAATCCGGAACCATGGTTGTCACCGCACGACAAAATCGTTGGCACCATCATTTATTCTCCGATATTTTTCTACCAGTGGTCTTAGAACACGCTCTCAAATTATCTGCCTATTTTTGAGCTTTTGCGTTGTGTCTGGTTAAAAATTTAGGCATAATAGATTAGGAAAGTCGACCCACCCATATAGGGGCTACCACAATTAATTGTTCCCAGATTCAACGTGTCCTACTTCAAGGGTTTTGTTTCTAAACCTCAGAGTGCTCAGTGGCATTTATTTACATTGTGAAGTACGCGGATATCTGGCACCTGAAAACTGACATCTAAACACCGTCATATCCACATTAGGACATGCATCTTTCATTACGCCTTATTTTTTTCGATGACCTCATGACTTTATTCAACAGTGAAAGTGCATTTTCTAAGAGTGATCTGAAGCCCTTCAAGAAAGACTTGTGTTCCTTGGTTTCTATGCTATAGCTTAGCTTTGTCAGTATTTTCTCATCATTAGATGCAGGAAAAATAAGAATTAATTTGCAATAGTTTCTTTCAGTAATCTTTTGAGTCGACGAAAACTTCTGTCGCTCAATTAAACACTGGCTGATGTCAAAACGATATTCGAATCTTACGATCTAGATGCAGTGATTATGAAATCGATATGTCTCATTTGATGACTAGGCTATTCGGTCCTTTTTTGCTCTGATGTGTCAGAAGTTAGGGCTTCTCCAGAGTGAGAGCAGAGAAAAGGTTTGTATCTGCGCTTAGACTTCTATATTTACCTTCACTTACTGCAAACTTTTTTGTATCCCATCAAGTCCCACGTAATTTAAGGTGCATGATTACATTTTCCATAGCCGTGGCACTATATACCTGGGTTTTAATAATCTGCAGCTGCTTCAGAGTGCCTAAGGTTGAATACCTGTTGAATACCTGTTTCCTTGGACGAATGACTGCACATGTTTATAACAGTCGTGAATACTTCTACCCACACGGCTGTTGTTTCATACCTTCAGGAACGACAACGCATAGTTAGCTTCACTGCTTGACGAGTATTTCTATGAATTAGGATTCAAATTGGGGCACCTAAATTTTCGAGTTGTGGGAAGGTGTCTCTAATCAAACCTCAGAACCCCCCCCCCACTTTAGCTCCAGTCTGTTAAATTACACACAAACGTGAATACAAATACGTTTATAGGATTTCAATTTAAAGAAGTTGCTCTCTGATGTAATCTTTAGGATTCACTGTTTATCACCAATTGCCAAGTAAGTTTCAAAAAAACATCCATTTATATTTGTAGTGTACTACTCATAAGGTTGCTGAAAATCCATCGACAG